AAAAAAAAAAAAAAAAAAAAAAAAACGCGGAGGAGAAAAGAAAGAGGAAGAGGAAGGAAGGAGAGAAAATGTTCCTGCCACTTGGGATGCCGTCTCCCACTCTACCCGAGAGCGCCCCCATCAGGTTGCCTGAACTGAACGTAGAACCTGCAAATAAACCTCTCTTCACACACAGCCCTGCGGAATTCCACCATCCCAAGGAAAGCTGCCTGGCAGCCCTTCCGGGCAGTGGGGAGGTGGAATTCAATCCCAGGTCTCTGAGCCCAAGCTGCTGCTTCTGGCGCTTGATGCTGGCAGCAGAGGCAGTGGGATTCTGTGTATTATGAGGTATGATCAAAATCTATGGTGACCACTTAAATTACAGTAAAAGACACAATGCCACGAACCCCCTCAAGACTCTGGCCCTGCTCATTCTGTCTCTCTGCGCACTTTCTGAGGCAGTTCTGGGAGTCCTCTCTCCTATCTTTAGTTGTGCTGTCCCGGCTGCCTCGATGTCCTGAATCGATTGAAAACATTTACCTTTCGTGGTTATTCTGATGTTGGGGAAGAGCCAGAAGCCACACAGTGCCAGGTGCTGTAAGGTGGGTGGGCTGCCTTTCCGCCGGATGGCGCTCAGCAGCAGCATTCGCCACACACCAAAGGGGACTTCAGCAGTGGCAAGGACGGTGGGATCAGGATGCTCCAAGTCAGGAGAGCACTTTGAAGGAGGTGGATTTTTTTTTTCCTTTGGTACCAGGGATCGAATTCAGGACCTTGTGCTTGCAAGGGAGGCGCGGTGCCACTGACCTACACAGGGCCTGGGAAACTAAGATTTCACCATAAACTGAAGGGCAGGTGGATGTAGGAGGGAAGAGTCTGGGGGAGCTGCTCCCTGGCCTCACAAGAGAGCTGACTTCGGATCATGCACCTAACAGAGACAGCCTCTTGTTAAAGGCTGCCCACTGATCCACCAGCAGAAGGCTGGGTAGTGGGATACGCACATTTTGGCTTCTGTCTGTGATTTCTGGCTCATAGCTCCTTCCCTGAGTCAGTCACCAGGAACCAGAATTTCTCTTCCCCGAAGTGGACAGTGGAGATCACATCTTCCCGACAGTTTGCCTCGGAGTTGGTGGTGAGGGTTCAGTAAGCCGCTTTGGCTGAAAGCAGCGGGTCACAAGGCCCGGTCCTGCCCTGCCCGGGAGGAAGGGCGCAGCCCGAGGGCCCCGGAGGACTCCAGATAGGCCAGGCCGGCTTTCCCTGTCAGCCTGCAAGATCAGGTCTTACCCCGCTTATCCACTCACATCTTTACACACCTGTCCTTGCTGCTTTGATGGTGCGTGTGCCAAGGAGCGTCTGTAAAAACCCCACGGGGCCGGGTTAGGAGACTTTGAGGAGCGGAGCATGCAGCGACCCGGAGGCTGGGGCAGCCGGGAGGCCGGACGCTCGCGCCCTGCTCTGGGCGCCTCCTCCTGGGCCAGCAGGTCACCGCCTTTCCACTGACGCAGCGAGCGCGTTTCCCTGCGTTCTGGGAGCTCCCGGCGGAGAGGACCTAAGTGGGAAGAGGGGCCCCGATGTAGAGCGGTGGGTCCGAGGCACGGGTACAGGAAACCGGGGCTCGCAGCGGCATCTGGGGGCCTCCGGGGGCCGAGCTGTCTCTGTGGGGCGCTGCGGAGCGGTGCTCCTTTGCTGCCGAGGGGAAATCCGCACGCTCTGAAGTCGCAGGAGAGACTGTGGTGAGGGCCGGGGAGTTAGCTCAGTGGCGCCCCGCCTGCCTTGCAAGCTCAAGGTCCTGAGTTCGATCCCCGCTGCCAGAAAAACAAACCCAAACAAACAGCAACACCAAAACAAAAAAGACGTGTGCAGCAGAAACTGAGTCTGTTTCCCGGTGCCCTCCAGGAGGCCTTTCCGGAGGGGCTCCCTGTCTGAGAGCTCCCCAGCCCCATTATAAAGCAAGGAGGTGCACACAGGTCTCAGCTATATTAAATTCCTCAGTGCAATTTTCCCTCAAGAACGAAAGCGTTCTGCTCTCTCCCCACAACTTGACATTGGAACGTGACTGGTGTTTTACAAGTCCTGGCCTTGAATAGTCTCGGAGCAGGACACAAATAATAAAGATGTGGCCAAGACTTCCTTGTCCACTAATAGCCACGGTCTCCATCTCCTTATATTCACAGAGATCAGAACACATGACCTTCTCAAGTACAGATTACATTTCCCAGCCCTCCTTGTAGCTAAGGGACCCATATAACTAAATTCTGGCCCAGCAGAATTAAACAAGGGTAGTATATGCAATCTCTAGGAACTCCTTAGAGGGAATGAGTGACTTATTCTTCATTTCTTCCTCCTACTTGCTGACCAGAATTTGGATTGATGGCTGGAGCTCCAGCAGCCATCTTGGGCCATGCATTGACTCGAGAAATAAAAGTCTCATATACCTGAAGAACAAGATGGCAGGAATGTGAGTGCCTAACACAGTGGAGCACCACCCAGACTTGCACTGGCTGCCTCCTGTAGATGTAAAAATGAATGATGAATACATTTCTATGAAGGTGCTGCGTGGCTGAGTCCTGGGGAGGAGATGGCTGGGTGCAGTTACCGTATTGTGTGGGCGAGGTGGCTTGGAAGCTGGCCCCTGTCGAGCTGGCCATCACCCTGGCTCCTCTGGACGCTGTGTTGGTGAGGTCCAGGTGTGGCCATCACATGCGTGCCAGGGCATGTCAGAGTCAGGACCATTTTGCAGAGGAAGTAAAACCACAGACACTCCTTGAGTCTTAACTGCCCAGTTCTGCTCCCCTGACCCAACACAGTAGATGGTGCTAATCTGAGTGTCCCTGGCCATGTGGGCTTGGCACTGTGGACAGAAAGCCTGCCTCTTCCCCCTTCCTGCTGTATGGCTTCCCACAGAGAGGTCAAGGCCACTTCCTTGAGGCATTTCCCCTCCTCCTCAAGACTCACAATGACTCCAGTAGTAACTGGAGACATTACAGGTTTCTCTGGAAAGGCGGAGTTGTTTCAAAGACTGCCAAGGAGTCTAAAAGTCTCCTAGTTAACGGTGTTGAAGCCGAGGGTCCTGGACTGCTAAGCAGTTTGGGCTTGGGCCCTGAACTTGAATGCAGCGTTATGGGTCTACACGTCATGATTGAAAAATATGATTATTTAAACATTTTGTTACAATGAAAGTCGCATTGTCATTAGTCCCCCTCAAAGCCCTCCCCCTCACTTATAACATTTATCCCATCATTCCTGCCCCTTTCTGAAGCAGCTCTGGAGTCCTCTTTCATGTGTCTTTTGTTGAGCTGTTATGGCTGCCTCCGTGTCCCGAACTGATGCCAGGTGTGTATCATTTATGGTCATCGGACTTTGAGGAACTGCTAGAAGTTGCACAGTGCCAGATCTGGTGAATAAGATGGATGAGGACACACTGTTATGTTGTTACAGCTCTGCTTTTCTTTTAACGACATTTAGCAGCAGCATTCTCTGTAGTTTTTGCCACACACTGCAGACACTCTGAAAAGCAGACCTTCAGAACCACTTCAGAAGGTGGCAAGGCTGGGGTAGGATGTTGAGATGAATGGGGGTATTTTGAAGGGGATTAATGACAATGCGTCTTTTACTGTAAGCCATTTAAACACCTGCTGTACTTTTTGTTCAGCCCTTGTACATATGCGTTTGTGGCAAGAAGATCTCCCGTGCTTTTCAGCTTCTCGGAAGCAACCTGTGTAAAACTGTGGCCCAGAGTGACAAAGAACTCACCAAGAATCTGTGTCAATGACAGCTCAGCCTCCGCCTCCAGATCCTGCCGGGACCCACAGCCTTCATCCTCAAGGGCACTGGGGCTGTTAGAGCAAAACGGTGAGCAAATAAATACCAGCAAATATAACAACTGACTGTGAAAACACAGTTTAGAGGAGAAAACAACAACACAACACAAACAGAAACTACATCCGCCATGATTGACTCATGAGCAAAGGGTAAACTTCATTTTCTTTTCTTTTTTATTGCTCTGTGATCTCCAGATTTCCTATGAAAGAGCATTTAATTATCATTGAAAAAGGAACACTAATTTAGGAAAAACAAATCCCTGAAATTATATGAAGTTTCTCCACTCAGCCTGTCTTTTGATATTTTCCTAGGTTCTTAAAAATGTTGCCAATGCTCAAGTTGATAGGTGAGTTTTGAGGGGAATCATCTTTTCTGGGGAAAAGCACGGAATTCTAAACAATCCATCCATCGTCACTGTAAGTACTGAGTTGAAGGAGTTAATGACAATGCTTTAACGGACAATTGTCGTGCTCTAAATGGCAATCTGTGTTCTTTGGCAAGGTGCCTTTTTATGGATAGTTTGAATGCGGCAAAGACTTCAGTTCATTTAAACTACTGTGAAGTTTTCCTTCTGCAAGAACCAACCTAAATTTGATGGGCTAAATTTGCCCTTAGATACTGCTCAAGGAAACCCTCTATTTTTCTATTCTTATCTTCAATGAGGGTTTAAAAAGTCTTGATTTTAAACTGCTCCTTCAGCCAATGAGAGTTATTAAGCTCAGTATTTATAAGATTTCCTAGAATAACTTTTTTTCTCCTAGAATAAACTTAATTGGCATACAGATTCTTTCAGTGAGCTATGATTGTAGCCATAAATATCTCTCTTGACTTAAGTCCTGGGTGACCCTAGTTCTAGCTTTAAGAGAAACATTAATTAGATGTCCCTAATTTATGGGACCTTATCCTAGACTACTATTTGACTCCTCTGGGGCTGACATTTAGGTAGTTTAGAGGCTCCCAACACTCACAAAACACTGTATAAAATTATTTTCATCCTGATGGAGAAAGACATACTGTTTTTATTTTCCAGTTGACATGTTAAAATCAAGCCCACTAATCCCTGCCTGTTTTTATCTAGCTATGTGATCTTCTAGGCTTTCACACTAAACTTGTAGGGATAAAAATAATTTAAATGGGTACAACTCATTTGTCTCTAAATATACATCTGGCTTCAAGCCCCAATTCTGCCTCTCACTGTGTGCTCTGGCCAGCTCACTCCCTCTGGCCCACATCTCTGAACAGGGTGGTCATGTACATCTGGTACGATATTGTAAAGATTGCTGGAAATAAAATGTATTATGGCATTGTTGGCACAGTGTGTAGCACACAGCATACATTTAAATTCATTTCCCTCACCTAATTCTGAGAATGACGTCAATTTTATTCAGTTGAGCAAATATTAATTGAGCATTTATTATGTGCAAAGTCCTAGAGATACCAATACTTCATCCATGTTTTGAAGACTGTCACGGTCTTCTAGGAAGGACAGAGCCTTGTCCTGTTCTAATTAAACCAGATCGTGAAAACTGCATTAACTGAAGTGTAAAGAAAGTACTCTGGAGTCCTAGGAAAAGAAGCATTCATTTCACTTGGCAACTTTTTAGAAAAAAGGTTACAGAGCCTTACGCTGGCCCTTGAAAGATAAGTTCTGGACTTAACAGAGGAGCAAGATTTTTGGAAACCAAAGATGGGGAAAGAATACGATGAGAACCAACAGCAAGAACAAAGACAAGGAAAAAAAATGTGCGTGGTGTAGTCAAAGGTATGCTTGGCCCCCTGTATCCATGGATTCTACACCTTCATATTCAAGCAAATATGGATTTAAAATAGTCAGGAAAAATTATGTCTGTGCCAAACATGTACAGACATCATTTTCTTGTTATTATTCCCTCAAGATCGCACTACAAGGGCTTCTTACCCAGCGCCTACCTTGTAGTGGGTGCTGTAAGTAATCTAGAGACCAGTAAAGGGTGCGGGAGGGTGTGCAAAGGTTTTACGAAAGCACTGTGTCACGTGTATAAGGGACTCGGGCTCCATGGGTTTGGGGATCCACAGGAGTCCTGAAGCCAGTGTCCGATGGATATCAAGTGACAAGGGTTGGCTGTGCTCTGGAGGGGCTGGTCTCTTCCAAAATGACTGAGAGAGAGAGAGAGAGAGAGAGAGAGAGAGAGAGAGAGAGAGAGGACAGTATCGGTGGTTCTCCATTGTCCCCTTGACTGTGTCCCGTGTCCCTGCCCCTGGAAGCCAGCTTCTCACTCCAAAGCAGGTCTCGTGACCCTAGAAGGAGCCAAGTAGACACCTGCTGCCTGCATTCATTCACGCAGCGCCTATCCCTTGCCCACCTACTGTGTGCCAGGCCCTGACTGAGGCCCTGAGTAGTCAGCAGTGAGCCAGGCACAGCCCCCCTTCATGGAGCGCTCATGCTGCTGGGAACGACAGACAGGAACCAGAGGGGTGAGCAGACACACTGTGCATGCAACTTGAGAGAACTAGTCTCATGAAGTAGAGGACAGCCTTGGGGATAAACAAGAGCCACTCTTTCCTGTGGGGTGGCCGGAGATGTCCCCCAATGTGCTGGAGTACAGTGATCATGTTTCATGTGCCCACGGACAGCAATGGGCTGGGCTTCTGGGCAGTGCCAGTCCTCCCTGCTCACTGCCCCAGCACAGCAGAGCCACGGTGCCAGGCAAGGCTGGCTTCTTGCTACCACTTTCTCCCTGTCAGGCAGGCAGGGGTCTGTGGCCCTGGCAGCTCAGTGGGCTTGTGGAGGGTTTCCCAGGACCTGCCAGCCTCAGGCTGGAGCTTTGCTCTTTACCCATCAGGCGTTGGGCTGAGGAGCCCTGTTCGTATAACAAACACACAGGATGCAGAGCCGTGGTCCAGGTTCAGGTGGGACAGTGAGGGCAGAGCCTGGTAAACTGCAGGCGATCAGAAGCAGGGCCATGTGTGACCTGGCTGCACGTGCTGGTGTAGGGCACGTGTAAACTGTGGATCACACGTAGTCAGATGTAGGAGCTGCTGTGGCAGACAGAAAGCCTGCAGTGCATTCTGACTCCCAAGGTGAAGAAACGTGGTAAAGGGCTCTCCTGAGAAATGGGATGGGGACTGGAACACAGGCTGGCTGGTCTGGGCCAGCACCTGGGCTACCACATGAATCCCTGCATTCAGGCAAGAGTGCCAAAGCTTGGGAAAGAGCAAACAAGGACCCTGGGGCACATTTTATGCTACGCTCTTACCCCCGTTCATCACGGAGTGTGTGGTGCCCACCCTGCAAGCGTCCTGCATGAATTGCTTCTACTGCCCAGGCAAGATGAGGACAGTAAAAGTGTCCCTGGGAGGAAGGAGAGGGACATCGGTGACCGCACTCCGTTAGGGGCTGAGTTGGGTCCCCTCCCCACAGCTCATACATTGAAGTCCTAAGCCCCAGTCCTTCACAATGTGACCTTTGTTTGAAACAAGGGCTTTACAGTGCAGTTATTCAGGTAAAAGGGCGTGATGTGAGTGGACCCTAATCTAATATGACTGGTGTCCTTTTAAAATGGGGAAAATCACCGGAAGAGCTGAAGTCGTCCTGTTACAGAGATACAAGCACACCAGTGTCTATAGCAGCACAATTCTTAATAGCTAGATCTTGGAAGCAGCCCACATGCCATCAACAGATGAGTGGATAAAGAAAACGTGGTATTTACATACAATGGAGTACTACTCTGCCAAAAAGAAAGATAAACTTGAGTCATTTGTGGGAAAATGGATGCATCTTGAGATCGAAAAGTTCAGTAAGATAAACCAGACGCACAAGCTTTATATATATTGCATGATTTCTTACAGATGAGAAACCAAAGTAGAAATCGGTCAAAGAGCAAAATAAAAGATAAATAATAGAAAATGGGGAGATAGATCTATTGCAAATGGGAAGATGGAGGGAGGAGGGAGGACAGGAGGGGAAGGGATGTAAAAAAGAAGATGTGTTAGGTCCATGTAGCAGCTCCCTGTGATGAATGTAATCATTTTGTTCTGCAAATACGTACTAATAAGAAAAGATTTTCTATGGTCAGTATCAAATTAAAGAAACCAAAGAGGAGAAATTTGGACACAGAGACAGACAAGCATGAAGCGAAGATGACGTCAAGAGGGAGGGAGAAGACAGCGACCTTCAGGCGGGGACAGAGGCCTGGCCACCTCCTCGGCTCCCAGCCTGGGGAGGAGCAAACCTACCCACTCCCCCAGGACTGCGGAGGATCCTTTAGGCCACCCAGAGGGGGGCACGTTAACCTCAGCTCTAACCAATCCATCTGTACCCCCGAGGAAGGAATTACTATCTTTATTTCCCAATGGAGGAAACTGAGGCTGGAAGGCAGGGTCCAGGGCCTTCGGCTGGGAACAGAAAGCCTGCTTTGGTTTCCGGGGTTTGGAAGCCTTTCCTCCCTGCAGAGTAGCCCCTGTGGGGAGAACGGGATCCCGGGGGGTGTGGGGTGTGGTTTCCAACAGAACACGCGGAGTTTAACCTGCAAGCGGAGAAGCCTCTGTAATTACTGCTCGCCCGCTGCCAATGATCTAACGATCTCCCTCGGAGTCCAAGGCTGCGCACCTGCTCCTCAGCAGGGGTGAGAGGATCTGATTCCTGGCAGCTGCTTCCTTGTTTACATTGCAAGGTCCTGTGTGAGGCCCCAGCTCGGCTCTGCAAATCAGAGGGTTGAGCCTCACAAAAGCACCCAGGGCTGCCAGCCTGGCCCCTGGGAATTGTTTGAACACGCAAACGCAGCACTGTCCGTGTCACCCTGCAGGAGGCCTGGCACCTTCCCGCCTTCCGCCAGCTGGCCTGGGGACGGCCTGGCCTCTGAGGCTGCCTTTTGCAGCCAAGGAAACCCAGGCTCAAGGAAGCTCAGATGCCACCCAAATCTGAGCCAGTGAGGAGCAGAGCTGTACCCTTTCGCCCTCTCTCCACACCCACTTTGGGACCCTCCTGAGCTCTGCTCTCCACACAGCTGCTGTCCTCACTGGGCAGGACGGGCACTTCCCGAATCCACAGCTGAGATCAGCGGTTGGGGGCACCCTGCCTCACGCGGAGGCCCCCGGGCGGCAGTGCGGTCCAAGTGACCGCCGAACTTGGCCGGCCGCCGTGCTGGAACAGACTTCTCCCCACAGAGACGGCTCGGGCTCGAGCTTTACCTTCCAATTCCATCTCTTCACTCCGTGAGGTCGGCTTCCCTGTGGTGCTCAGTGAGACCCGGGGCTGCCGCTTCGAAGGAGGAGGAGATTGAGGAGGAGAATCATTCCCCTTAATGTGGCTCCACAGGCCCAAGGCAGTGATTAGGCTTGGAAACCGCAGGCGCGCTGGGTATTCATCCTCCCGCCCCGGGTGGCCCAAAGGGGCCAAGTTCCTAGGCTGGAGACTGGGGCTCTGCACTCTGCAGCTACCAGTGCAGTGGGGACACGAGAGTGGGGGACAGGTTCACCCCAATACTGCAGCGGAGAGAGAGACAGAGACAGACAGAGACAGAGAGACAGAGACAGAGACAGACACAGAGAGACAGAGACAGAGAGACAGAGACAGACAGACAGAGAGAGAGAGACAGACAGAGAGAGACAGAGAGAAAAACAAAAGAAAGGAAGGAGGGAGGAAAAAAGGGGAGAAAGAAGGGAGGAAGGAAAAGGGATAACTAAGGAGAGAGAGAGATGGTCTCCCCAGAACATCTGGTCACGGACCAGGGATTGGCCAATTGGCCATGGCTACGACACTCTTGTCTTTTTATTTGTGTGTGTGTGTGTGCTAAATTCACATTACAGAAAAATTCACCATTTAAAAAAAAGTGTGGCATTACTGCAACACAAACAATTCCGTGGCATTTAGCACATCCCTACATTGGCCAGCTCTCCTCTATCTAGTTTCTGAAATGTCCTTATTGCCCTAAAGAAACCCCATCTCATACCCCATTTGCTCTCCAGCCCCCAGAAATCATCAGTCTGCTTTCTGTCTCTGTGAATTTACTTATTCTAGGCATTTAAAATAAATTTATAATAAATATTTAAAATAAATTGAATTCCACAACACCCTCTTCCAGGAACCCGCAGAATATCAAACTGAAGGGAGCTGAATGGCAGTGTTTGGGTTTGTTGTATTTTAACCTTTGTCGACATTATTCTGTGTAGGATCATGAAAATTACACATTTTGTGGTAGAAAGTCTGGAAATAGAGGAAAGCCTGAAGAAGAGTATTAGGGTTGCTCACATCCCTTCCCTCAGGATACCTCTGCTCACCTCCTGTTGTCCCCCTGTGCTGACACAGATGCCCACGTGGGCTTCGGTGTGCCCGGGCTGATTTCTCAGCCTCTCTAAATCTTACATCCTAAACTGTAAAAGTGGGGGTGCTAACAGCACCCACTTCACAGGTTTATTGGGGGAATCCATGAGTAAAATGGTGTGTGCTCCATCAATGCAGTGCACTCCAGCTAGTTTTATGGGATTTTTTCCTTCCAGCAATGCAATGAAGATTATTATGTCCATGGAGGAAGAAACCCAGGGTCTGAGAGCTCAAGTACCTCACCCCTGGATGGAAGGAAACATCTTTTTGGAGGACCTCCATATGCTGGCTCATTGTCCCTGACCCATTTTACCCACTTAGAAAGGGAGGTGTGGAGGTACCCAAGCTCACCTGCTGGATACGGGTGGACTAGCAGCCACAGCAGGTGTCATGTATTCCTCCACCTGCCCCATGCCCCTGCCCTGAACAGAGGCCCCTGGCCTGGCATTTGGACTCACTCGGCCAGGCTCCCTCACCTGTGCGTGGCTGCAGGCATCTGGCTCTGCCGTCATGGTTTCACAGAGCTGATCTTTGCTTCCTCCCTGGCCTCCTGCTCCCGTCATCTCCTGGCTGTTACCGGAGCAGCCCGGGCGGTGCTTCTAGAAAAGCAAAGGGCAGCAGTGGTGTGGAGTTGGGCTTGCAGTTCCGTGCATTCTGTCCCGGAGCTGCTCGGGCCCTGCTTTGCACAGCCTCAGACCCCAGCCTGCCTGCTGCAGATGCCCCCTCGATGAAGCCTCCCAGCTGTGTCCCACAGGAGGGTTGAGCTCTCAGAACCCAGCGAGAGACCCTGCAGAGCGAGGGGAAGCCCAGAAAGTGCCGTCTCAGGCCTGGCTCCTTGTCCAGAAATAGCACCGGCTCGAAGATCCTGTTACCAAAACAATTCGATGGGCTGGAGAGCTTTCCCAGAGAGCCAGGAGCCTGCCGGCTTTTCCCAGGATGCTAATTAAAAACACTACTAGGCCAATGGAGCATCATAAATAATTCAACTTGGAGGAGCTCAGGGACTCAGGGTTCATGCTGCTGCTCAAACTCCTCAGAGCTCGTGGGTTCTTGCAGTTCTGTCCTTAGGGGGAGCTCTTGGAGAGACGTGGATGCTTCCCAGGCTCTTAGAGAAATAGAACTGCTTCCTGGGCTCTCGGAGGGATGGGGGCGCTTCAGGATGTTGGGGAGATGGAGGTGCTTCCCATGAGGCAGCTGCCCCCCCAGTCCCTGGGGGCCCTGGCCCTCAGGCCCGCAGAGCTGCAGGCTGGGCTGCCTGTGAGGCTCATCAGGTAGGACTTGTGTCTGGAAGCGGCGCCTCTCTTCTGGTGGGATTTCAGAGCATGTCCCAGCTCGGAACTTGCCGTGGACTTGGATAGGCTGCTGCTTTCTGGACTCCCAGGTTAACTGAGGACATCAGTCTCCTGCTGTCAACACTCCGCTTGCAGAGTCCCAGGGACCCACCTGGCATGGAAACCCCATGAGTTGCCCTTGAGTTGCCATGGGATCGTGGGTCTGGAGAAGCAGTGGGGTAGCCCTAGTATTCACTAAAGGCCCAGTGCTCCTCCCAGTGCTGCAGAACGAGATCACACATGGCCAGTTCAGGGTGGGCACAAGAGTTCACTGCAGTGTCAACTTGAACAGATTAAGAAACGCCTACAAATGACTCATTTATCTTTACGGCTGGGTAGTATTCAATTGTGTGTATATACCACATTTTCTCTATCGACTCATCTGTTGATGGACATATAGCCTGCTTCTAAGCTTTGGCTACTACGAACTGTGCTGCTATAAACATGTGTGTGCATGTGTCACTGTAATGTGATGTCTTTAGCTTTTGGGAAGAAACCTAGAAGAGGAATAGCTGGGTCAAACGGAATTTCTAGTTTTAGGTTTTTGAGGAGTCTGCAAACTGATTTCCACAGCAGTTGGACTAGTTTACATTCCCACGGACAATGCAGATGGCTCCCTTTTTCCCTGCAGCTTCACCGGCATCAGCTATTATTTGATTTCTTGATAAGGCATTTGTAGGAAAATGGATGCAACTTGAGACCATAATGTTAAATGACATAGATCAGATACACAAGCTTAAATATTGAATGCTTTCTCTTATATGGGAAACCCAAATTATAAATAAAGAGCACAATAAAAGACAGCTTATAGGGAGTAGGGAGACAGCTCTTTTTTTTTTTTTTCCTTTTGGTACCGGGGATCGAACTCAGGACCTTGAGCTTGCAAGGCAGGTGTGGTGCCACTGAGCTAAATCTCCAGCCCTGAGACAGCTCTTTCTCAAATGGGAAGGGAACAAACAGATGGAGGGAGGAGGAAGGCCATGGAAGGGAAGGGGATGAAAAAAGCAATTGAGATGTGTTATGTACCAACTCCACAAGGTGTGTGTAAACATGTACTGCAGACATGCACTAATAAAGGAAAGAGGAGGAAGAGGAGGAGGAGGAGAAGGAGGAGGGGGAGGAGGAGCAGGAGGAGG